TACGAGTTCTGATGAGATTGGAGATAGCAAACATTGAGACTGCAGGCTGAGGACTACTTTTAGGATCTGCTTTCATCTACCTCCGGAGATGTTTCTTGACATTGTGAGATCGATATCTGAGACACTGTGAGACTCTGTATTTGCGACATTTCAGATTTTCCTTCCTTCTGACATTTCGAGATACTATTTTTGGAAACATCGAGTTGACGTCATCTTCCCTCTCCTCTTCCCTTCGTCTCTCCTCCCCTCCATTCATTTGTGTATGAGAGTTGGCCTTGGCCTTTTCTTCCATGTCCAAGGCCAGGTGCAATGAGCCCAGACGTGATGATACTCGTCAACATCACCAGTCCATATGATTATCGATTTGCTGATGAATGACAAACAATCGCAAATGTGTGTGATGATAGAATGAGGTGAGAATCATACACAGACGAAGGAGGAGAGAGGGAGAATAGACAAAGGAGAGAGAAGAAGACAACAACCCACTTCTACTTCGGGTTCCTCCTCCTCCTTGCCACCTCATCAATCAATAGACTGAATACAATGTCTGAAGTTCTTCCTCAAGGTGCCACGTGGCACGTCAGTCTGTCTACATCAGCAAATGGAGAGTATCGTCATCAACCAGGTACGTATCCTCGATAACCACACTTGATCCCTTTCCGAAATGACGAAGAATCAGAACAGCCTCATCAATCTCGCAGCCCGCCACGTCATCAATCATATACAGGTGGCAGCGGCCACGTCAGCAACGGCGCATGGCAGCTGCCACGTCAGCATGCCCAGAAGACCATCGCCAGCTAGCACCTTGCCAGCGAGCAGCGCCTTGCCGTCCTCCTCTGCCAGCATATAGCCGGCGTCAAGCCAATGTTGCAATGTCGCAGCATAGCAACAGCGTCAAGTCCACGCGTGAAGTCAGCATTCACGCAAGACTGAATGCCCTCCAGCCAGGAAGTCAACTCTTAAATAGCGTGGATGTGGGGTCTGGACCCCGCGTGCTGAAGTCTTGCACCGTCCAGATCTCGATGTGAAGGAGGGCCCAGATTGGCCAGAAACTGTGTTCTTCCCGCCCTGAATGCTGTCTGGGTACCTGCACACAACAAGTGAATGTATCCGACCATAGGCCTGGGTGTGGTACCTTTGACTCTACAGTTGACTTTGACTATTGAATTTCCTTTGTGCTGCGTTCGGTCACACAGCCTCCTCGACAGACTTAGGCTGGGCATGTCTCGGTCACATAGCCCAGCACAGACAACTGAGTTTGTGTCTTACCGGGGGCAATGTTCTGAGGCCCGGTTTGCTGCTGAACTGGGTTACTGCATTCCTGCCGACCCAAATTTCGAGTTCCATCGCAGTCTCATTTAAGACTTCAACCCACGTTCGTAAGCAGAGACGATATCAGGAGCAGATTCAAGGAGTTCTCTTTTACTAAACCATCTGTCCTCAGATGGGTTCTGACTCTTAAAACGAACCTTGAATTGCTTCTGGGGTCGTCCTCGTGCACCTGTAGAGAAGAACCCTTGTTCTATAATTCGGTCCACTTCATATCCACCATCCATATCTGGCGGTATCATAGATGGTCTATGGGGGAATTCATCTCCTTCTACATAAGGCAGCAACTTAGACGCATGAAAAAACAGAATAGGTTATGAGATGAGGGGGTACATCAATCCTGTAAGATGGTCCCTCTGCATCTCCAATCACTTTAAGAACTTCCCAGGGTCCAAAATAGACAGGGAGGAGTTTCTGAGAGACATTTTCTTCTAGTGAAAATTCTTTAGACTTGACCCTGACCAAATCACCTTCTTTGAACGTTGATGGTCGTCGATGGTTATTAGCTTGTTCGATCATCCGGTCCTGAGCTTTCTTTAAGTTCTCCTTTACCTTTTTAATGTCTTCTTGAAACAATACTGCGTATTCGCGGGTCCCTCGAGGTAACCTAAGAAACTGGTCCCTCGTCAATACATCAATGGGACGCTTAGGTTTCCACCCTTTATGCAGTGCATTAGGTGTTCGTCCTGTAGACGTATGGACACTTCTATTATATGCACTTGCTATCTTAGGTAAGTTCTCATCCCAATCTATTTGATCGGGTCTTACATACATGCGCAAAAGTTGTTGGCACAAACGGTTCATTTGTTCACTCTGCCCATTCGTTTTTTCTACCTGACGACATGGTTAGACGTGTACTGTATGCTTTCATCAGCTTTTGCCATGGCATACTTACTCAGTCACCCATCACATCTGAAACTTTTGGATCACAAGTTCCGTTCTGGCTTTTTCGGGTAAGGGAATGAACATAGCATATTTAGAGAAACGATCCACAATTACCATTACCTGACTATTGCCATTGCGACTTTTGGTGAGACTCATGAAATCTATTGAGATAGACTCACCTGGTTTGCTTGGAATTGGTAACGGTCTGAGAAAACCAAGTGGATTCTCATGTGAGGGTTTGTTTCTCTGACACACAAGACAAGTACGAACATAAGTTGGTACATCCTCTTTCAATCCCTTCCATTCAAAGCGTTCTCTAACTTCAGCGTAGGTTTTCTTGAAACCAAAATGACCTTCGGCGTCGTGACATTCCCCAATAATCAGACTTTTGATTTCTTCCTGGTGAGGAATACACAATTGTTGTTCAGTTTGGTCTAGCAAGAAAAACAAACCATCAGTTATCTTATAGTTGGGAACTAGACTCGGGTCTTTCGCAAGGACATCCATGATAGGTTTCCATATAGGATCATTAACATAGCCTTGACGAATTCTATCTTTTAGATCACTCCCAACGTCTAGGTAAGAGACAATGGCACCAAAGAAATCACATCTCCTAGACAATGCATCTGCAACCACGTAAGACATACCTTTGATAGTGTTTAACTCAAAATCAAAAGTATTAATGAATGCAGACCATCGTACTAGCTTATCAGAGAGCCTAGGCTGTGTCTTTATCCACTTCAGGGTAGAGTGGTCTGAGTACACAGTGAAGTGTCTCCCTAATAGATAGTGTTTCCAGGTGTCTAAGGCACATATTAACGCAAACAATTCCCTTTCGTAGGTAGAATTGGCAATCTTTTCAGATGGAAATCGTGCAGACATAAACTCAATCGGTCTGTAGCCATTGTCGTCGTTCTGTTGAAGAACTGCGCCAATCCCATACTGACTTGCATCAGTGGTGATAATAAAGGGAAGAGATGGATCAGCAATTTTCAAAACAGGGTAGTGAGTCAGAGCGTACTTTACCTTTTTGAACGAGGACTCACAATCCTTGTCCCACAACCAGATCGTTCCTTTCTTTAACAATCTTCTCATTGGTGCAGCGATCAATGAGAAGTTCCTGATAAACTTCCTATAGTAGCTTGCCAAGCCAAAAAAAGATCGTAACTCAATTACAGTCTTAGGTTGTGGCCAGTCTCTAATTGCTGATATTTTCTTTTCTTCAGGCCTGAGGCCATCTTGGTTCACTATATGTCCTAAGTATAAAACTTCAGACTTAGCGAACTCAGACTTCTTCRGGTTGATTTTGAAGTTSCCTTCTCGCAACTTACTCAAAACCAGACGAAGATGCTTCTCGTGTTCTTCTAGTGTTTTACTATATACGAGAATGTCATCCAGATAGACAATGACGAACTGATCCAACCATTGACGAAATAACTCGTTCATTGACCGTTGAAATGTAGCAGGAGCATTAGTCAATCCGAAGGGCGTTACCATAAACTCGTAATGGCCATACCTGGTACGGAAAGCAGTCTTGTGTTGATCCGCGGGCTCCACCTCGATCTGATGGTACCCAGACTTCATATCAATTTTACTGAAGTACTTGCATCCCTGTAGTTGGTCAAGTAAATCGTCGATGCGAGGGAGTGGTTCGACATTCTTGACAGTGACGACATTCAACCCTCGATAGTCAATACATAGACGTAATTCACCTTCCTTTTTGGGCACGAACAAGACAGGTGCTCCATAAGGAGATGAACGAGGGCGAATCCATCCCTTGTCAGTAAGGTCCTGCAGTTGCTTCTTTAACTCCTCAAGTTCCCTGGAAGACATTCGATAGATAGGGCCCTTGGGAATTTTACCACCCGGAATAATCTCAATGGTGTGCTTTATAGCACGTTCTGTAATTCCGGTGGGTTTATTCTGCAGATCCTTATATTCGGAGAGAAAACTTTCAATCGTCGGAGGACAGGAAGAAGAAGACTCACCGACTTTTTTTACCAGCACCAACATAACTTCCTGTTCCAACTTTTTCTTAGAAACCATTGAACGAAAAGCTGGATAACTCATACAGCAAAAGGATAGACTTGAGTCAGAGCCAGACTTGTGATATAATTTAATTGGTTTCATTTCTGATTGCGCATCTTTGAGTTGCACAATCTTGTTT